GCGTTAAGTGATTTGATATTAACTTTTTCTTAAAATTTCATTTCAACTTAAGTGTATTTAAATCAACTTATGTTGATTTTAAATCTAACAAAATTCCATTTCCTACATATTTTGCAGATAAATTTTATTATTTTAATGTCGACACGTTCAACCTATTAAATTTTCAATTGAATACTTGTCCAATTTTTTTGTTTGCACAAAGTTTATGAAAAACATTGTTCTTCTCGATCAACAGGTCTTTGACAAGAAATGGCTCTGGATATAAACTAATGCTAGCCGGGTCACTCGAAGGATAAATTCATGAGGCACCCGGGTGGATAAAAGCAAACCACTCAGTTTCTACCTGGGTGGCATATTTTAAACGAGTCGAATCACTATAATATACTCATTTTCTATCAAGCTTTCATTGTTTAATAGAAAGTTTATTTTTATGGAGATGATAATAATTTTTATAAAACCAAGTTTGTATTTTTATTACTGTTTGCAACATCAATAACTTGTATTTAAAGAGCGAATAACAATCAAAATTGATTAATCGGTAATATGTATTTTAAAAACAAATTTGATTAGGAAATAATATATATTTATGGAGAACTTGTAAACCAAAACAACAAGTACACAAATTGTGCTGGATAATCTCATAAATATAAATTCCAAAATGTATTTAACTTTGTGGCAACTACAGTACATATTGCTAAAATTGACAATATATTACACTTAATAAGATTTATTTCACGAATTAACTTAAATTTTTTAATATTTGAAAATGATATTTTATATAGAATAAACTAAATTTTTAATATTTGAAAATGATATAGAATAAATTTAAATTGTTAATAAAACAATTTATAAGCATTTCACCAACACATTCATTTTCCAACTTACGTGGATTTATAAAAAGCACTCCGTAATTTGTGACCAGTGTACGAAATTCGCTGTTCTCAGAAAACACCAATCAAATTTTAAGAACATAATTTATTAAAATATGTTCTCTACCTGAGAAAATTAAATTTATTTTTTTGATTATGCAAGTTTAATTTTTCTATATAAAGACATTAAAAAATTTTTGAAAAAATTAAGGACATGAAAAAGTATTATTGGTGAGAACATAAAGTCAAAATTGAATTTCATACACTGCTTGTGACGCCATTCGAAAAGCAACACCTCTTATTGAATTGTAAACATGAATAAAATTTTCTTTATATATGCAAAATTCAAGAAATTACGATCTAAAGAAACAAACAAAAAGAATAATCTTATTCTAAAAAAAGCTTACAAAATTATTATTAAATTTCATAATTTAAAATATATCACATTTTATGCTACGGTAAATAGATTATTATTACGAAATTGTTAAAGCTATTTATTCAGTGAACATAAAATTTTTAGGCTTTTATTACGAAATTGTTAAAGCTATTTATTCAGTGAACATAAAATTTTTAGGCTTTTTTATTAAACTGGAATATTTCATATTCTTCTACCAAAAAATATGAATATCCATTAATATTAAATTTTGTTGTATTTCTAATTCGCTTTTCATATGAATGTTGGCAACTGTAACATTGCCTATTTTGATTAAAATTATTCTTCATACCTAAATCACAACCAACACCAAAACGTGGGCCACTCCCAGAATTACATACAATTGCATATTCCGCTTCTTTTACACGACTTAAAATAGAATTTTGAATAGTACCATTTTTCAATGAAAAAATAAAGCTATCTTTGCAATTCACATAAGAATTTTTTCTAGATTTATCCCATCCGATAGGATTATAGCCACCAAGAATTTCATCAGTACCATTAACCTTCATGACTACAACAAGATATGTTTGTTGATCACATAATTTCCAAAATGAATCAGCAGTAAAATCATCTCTTGTTCCACGAAGAAGTAATTTAAACTCGTATGGATTATTTGCTATTGAATATGTATTTTCTTTTTTATCAATCCACGAATCAATTTCTGCTGCGTGTGCTTCATTGATAACTGTTGAAAATTGGTCGGTATTTCTAGTTGGTAATTTTGTTGTTAAAATTACACGAGGCGGGAGAATTATCGATGATATTACTCGATTTAGTGATATGAACTTATTTGTTATATCTTTCCAAAGATTTTTGTCAAGGATTTGATGATAAGGTTGTACATTATCAATAACATCATCACCAGGTATCTGAAAATATCGAATATGAGGCAAACAATTTTGTAAAGTGGTTTTTAATGTGAGAAAGTTTTCATGAGACCAGTCTTCAGGATTTGATGGTAGGCTGGGATTTTGCGCAATTCCCCATTCAATAACATGATTCCAAATTTTCACTTCTTCCATTTGCAAATCATCTCGACTAATAAGTGAGACTATCACATTTTCTTTAAGCGAAACGAAGTCTTCTGATTTAAAAACTTTATCAGGGTATTTAACTACAATATCATTGCACCATTTTTGTAATTCTTGAAGCTTATTACTCTGGAAAATTTTTTGATAAATACGAGTAAAATTTAAACGAAGCCAATGAGCTTCCGTTTCAATTGAATGAGTTTCAAGGTATTTAGCCAATTCATCAAAAAGAAATTCATAAGCTATAAGCATAAGATCATAAATAAATGATGCATTATGGTTTTCAAGCAAGGCTACACCTCCGTAGATATATCTTTGTATTTTTTAATTGATACGTTAGATTTCATGTTGAATTTATGGTAATATAATTATAAATCTTATATAAAAGAACCCACCTGATGATTATGTCAAATTGTTGGATAGAAACATTTTTTTAAACCAAGTATTTTAATATTATTATCACTTTTGCCAATTCATTACGAAAATATAAAGATCTGCATCTTAAAACTGTTGAATGTGCTTGGAATATTTTTGTATTTGGAGATTTGCCAATATTTATGACTATATTAAAATCTTCTTTGTCATCAAGAAGTTCAAGATAATTATCTGAAAGTTTTTCAAAAAAATTTATTACCATTTTTTAATGAGTGTTAAAATTTTAGTTTCAGTATCCTTTAAAAATGGGGTACATGTAAAAAAACCTAGTTCGCAAGATGATTTATAGACTCTGTTGTGCAACATTACACTATTTAAAGGTTGAAACCGTTTTAATTTTTAAATACTAAATCAGGTTTATCCGGTGATAGTGTGTGAAAATAAAACTGTCCCAATGATAGATAATCTTTATATAAATCATACATATTTTCTTCAATTCATGATTCATATACAACTGAAGCAAAAACAAGTATTGATTAGATACTTGAAAAACAATTGGGAAAACTATATCGTCATTTTTTGAAATAAACCGATATCATTTAGATGAAAATTTTTAATTGTTAGTTTAAGAATATTATACAGTGTGTGGTTAGAAATTTATTAAATTTTGGTTTAAACAATATGACATTCATTATTTACACTTAACTTTGCAAAAATCTAAAATTTTGCAAGTAAAGGTTAAATAATAGTTTGAATATTTACTTAGGCTTAAAATAAATGAATGCTCTTTAAATCAGTTTTGCAAATATTCTTCGAGAATAATTTATTCTAAATATTTTCTTTTAATAAGACTGCAAACTTATTATTATCTCATACTTTTAAGATTATCTCATTCTTTTAAGATATCAAAGAAAAGATAACAATAATTTATAGATCATTATGAAATGTTTATTAAGTGAATTATAAACATAAAATTTAGGATTTTTTTACTAATCTAGAATATTTATATCATTATACCGAAAAATATGAAAATCCTTTACTGCCAAATTTTCATATATCCTGATGATTTCAGCACCTCTTATTTTGATTAGAATAATTCGACATAAATAAAGTGGCTTTTAAAGAAAATTTTTATTTGACTAATCTTCAGGATTGTCAGTAGGTCAGAATTTTCTCATTCTATAATACTGTACTATTTCAAGTTTTTACCTCTTCCATTTGTAAATCATCTCGAGACTAACACATTTTTTGGAAGAGAGACGAAGTCTTCTGATTTAGAACCTTTATCAGGGTACTTTACAACTGTATCATTGCACCATTTTTGTAATTTTTGAAGCTTAAAATATCAATTAACTAAATACAAAGATATATCTACGGCGGAGTAATCTTACTTGAAAAACCGGAATGCATTATTTATTTTTGAACTTATGAGTATTGCTTATGGGTTGCTTTTTGATGAATTAGTTAAATATTTTGAAACTCATTCAATCAAAGTAGCATCTCATTTGCTTCGTTTAAATTTTTACTCGTATTTATCTAAAAAAAAAAAAAATTCTATAATAATGAATATAAATTAAATCGTATATAAAATAGCTTACCTGATGATAATTTAAATTGTTGATCAGGAACATTTTTTAAAGTCAAGTATTTTAATATTATCCTTATCTTTACTAGCGTACTAACGTTTGCCAATTCATTACGCAAATATAAAGATCTGTATCTTAATATTATCTAATGCACTTGGTATTTAGATATTTGCCAACATTAATGATTACATTGAAATCTTTGTCATTAAAAGTTTAATTATGGAGTCTTTTAAAAATAGTTGTTGTTTAAGTGTATGTAAATAGTACAAGTTAGTACGGCATACAGCATTGAAAAAAAATTCAATATTAAAAATTGTGTACTGTATATTCGCAAAATCCGTAGTATCATTGATAGACTTCAGTTGTGCAGCATAGCACTAACTTGCTCTAAGTTTGATTTAGCTTTATTTTTTTAGATAATATATGAAATGAAAAATAAATTCTAACTTCATTTAATGATTAATACCATATCGATACTGTACGAACATTAAGTAGTTTAGTAAATTTGTTGCTTTTTTTAAACAATAGATATCGTCTTACAAAGAGTTTTTAAGTGTGAGTTTAAGAGTATATGCAATAAGAAATTTGATTTAAACGGCATATTCATTATTTACACTTTTACTAAAATCCGAATTTCATAAGTTTGCAAATGATGTAAAAAATGAAAAAATTTAAACAGAACAGAGTATTATTTGTTAAATATTTACATATTTCCATTATTTTCAATTTGTTCTAATTTAACTACATTATTTGGTATGAGAAAACATATAGCACCAAACATCAACATCACACGGATAATTATATCACTCACTATATACCATTTATTACACTTCCCTTATAAGACCTAACTCTTCTATTATTATTGGAAGATAAAAAGCAACCTATATTAACAGTATCCAGCGATGAAAGAGCTGAGTTGGCATTATCTAGAGATTGGATATTTAATTGTGTAAAAAAAAAAAAAAAAAGGCAATTATCCAAGTACCTAAAAATTTAGTACCCAAAGCTTTAGCGTCTGAAATTTTGATTCATAAACTTTGATCGCCAGCTATTCATCATCTTGACAATTTTACAAATAAATTATCACTATACCCATCGTTACAGAAATGACCACATCTTTATAACTGTAAAATAATTAGAGACATTTCAAGTAACTCAGGTATGCAAAATTAAAATTTTCGACAAATCAAAATATTTTAATACAGTCTAAGTATTTAAACTTTTAGTTTAATAATGTCATTTTACATTTTTCTGCATTTACAAAATTTGAATTTTCAAAAAAAATGATGTAATTTGTTAAAGTGTCCGAATATAAAATATGATTTTACCTTTATTCAAGCAAATGCTTTATTATCACTTATCCGGCAAACTCTTATGATCATGAAAAAATTTCTTTTTGTTATTTTTTTCATGTGTTACTATGTAATTATGTTTTTCCAATATTGTATACTTATTGGATGTGATGATTTAGATGTAAAAATCCGAGATCGTGTTATTAGTACAAATCTCTATATAAATCAGTTATACACTGGATTCTATGCGTATAACTATTACTTATATCATTTTTTATTGATAGTGGTGATACACATTTATTTTTCATCAAATCTTTCATAACAAACACAAAAAAGGGTCATTTTTATAGAGTTAATAACGTTTTCACAAAGCTAACTTTTTTATTTTCAATATTATTTATTACAAACGACATCTCAACTGCTGTATTTAAGAAGTAAATAACAATTAAATTGATTTAACCGGAAATATAATATGCACAATCGACTCTGGATATACTGAACCTGCTTATACTGAACGGGTTATAACAAACCGGGTTTGCCAGAGCGGATTTTATAATAAATTAGGCTTGCTATATCGAACTTAATTAGTAAATCTTTATATGCCGCATCCGAAATCTTTTTTACTGGCCCAAGGCTATGCATACATATCTCGATATAGCTAACTATTATATAATTTTGCGGATATGCATAAGAAATAATGGGATCCGAAATATTTTTAAAGAAAATGAATGAACACAAAAGAGAACAAGGTTGAGCAAAATTTCAAGTAAAATTCCGAAATTTTTCGAAGGCATCTTAATAAAGCTGGTTTTGTGAGAGATTTTATTGGATGGCTTTACATACTGAAAGTTCGCTATAGAGAAAGTAAATTATATAACGAACTTTCTCTATACTGTTGGAAGCAATCCAAACCACCCAATTACCACCAAAACAACGCAACCAACCCAACAATTTACCCAATAGTGAGAGGCGGTATTGATTTGGCAAGGTAAGACTAAATCAGGTATTTTATGGGCAAATACGATTTCATACAAGCACACTCGATTATTCTTTATTAGAGGGCGAAACAAGCCCTTTTTATAATAAATTTTGTACATGTGGAGGGAACAAAAAAAAAAACAGAATCGAATTCTTTTTTCGAATCTAAGTCCGCAAGCATTCCCCTTATTGCTTTGCTTAACTATCTGTTTACAGACAGATGGATTCGCCACAGATTTGATGATTGCGCCTCATCTTCTTTACCGTGGTCCTGGGGCTTCGTGGGAACAATTTCCTCATGATTTCTTCGCGATTTTGTGGGAGCTTCGATTCGGGATTTTTATCATATTTTTGGGCCCCGTGACGTCGTATTTGGCGCGACAAATTTCGGCGGGTTTACCACCAACATTACCGAACAGAACGGTCCAAAATATTCTGTTCGGTATATCCAGAGTTGATTGTATGTGTAATTTTGATATTTTAAACTCATAAATTCATTTCAGGAAATGATATATATTCTGAAGTTTAGGTTAGGTTGGGTCAAAAAGGCGTGTTAGATTTGGTGAGACGAACGTGATTTATGACTTACCGTATAGTTCCAAAAATAAGCACCCCATAATTTTTTTATATCCGAAAATAAGCCCCTTTTAATGATTATCAGATTAGAAATTGGTTTAAAACCGGTTTTCTTGTTTCATTTTATATCCGAAAATAAGCAACCCTATAACAAAAAAGGGGTGCTTATTTTTGGAACTATACGGTAAATACTTTATTATTTTGTAAATCGGAAATTATTGTTTCCGAAGGGCCAGAAGGCCTTTATTTATACAGTATTATTAAATTTTTATTCTTTTTTAGCCCAATAAATTTAATAAGCATGAGCAAAAAGAATATTTAAAAGTTACACCAAATTCAATCTTACTTGATTTTAGAAAATTAATTTGTTATTACCGAAAGTGTCATGAATTTTCAAATTAAAAGCATTTGAGCTTTAATATAATTTTTTTTTTTTTTTTTTGTCGACACTTTGTGTATTCATACTAAATAAATATATATTGTCACGGATGATCGTGAAATCAAACCTATTTAATATACGATATTTAAAAATTTTTAGGGTATATTTTTTTACAAGTTTACTAAAATGCACCTATGGTGTTCAACACCATAGGTCCCTATTTCTCAAAAACGTACTAAGTAAACGGGATCGATTACTTTAAGCAAAAATGTTCAGGACCCCTAAAAACCTCGTAAAAAACTAAAATTGGAACCTTATATCAATATATATTATAATATATAAAAAAAAAAAATTATCAAAATGCACCCAACTCTAAATTTATTAAAAACAATTATATATGGTGTTGAATACCATATGTGCATTTTATAATAATTGTTTTTTTATATTATTTTTTTAGATTTGAAGATTTAGGATTAGAGTTTAAGTATAAGTGGGTTTTAGTAGGGTTTATACAGAGAGACCTCTAAATGCACTCTCTATAAATGTACCCTCTATGTAAAATCTCTTTAAATGCACAGTATAGCCTGGTCCCAGCTTATAATAGCACTATACATTTTGCTCTCTATAAATGCTCTCTCTCTCTAAGTGCACATTTTTGAAATTTTTTACTATGGTCCCAAGGGGGGTGCATTTAAAGAGGTCTTTCTGTATTTTTAAATTAAGGCCCCCAGATTCACTATCATTTGGTTTCACCATCATCCATAACAATAACTGTGAGGAACTAAAATGAGAAAAAACTAAGTTGAGGTGCTTATGGGATTTTGCATAGAAATTCCCAACATGAGATGTAATTAACCAGGGACACTTAATTAATCTTGACCCTTTTTTTCAGGTTTTCTATTTTACCCAACCCTCTTTTTTTGTCTTGTAAGCTTCACTTTTTTTTTTCTTTTTTTTTTTTTGAATTTCACTTTTTTTCCTTTTGAATTTTGGGGGGTTTTTTTTTTTGAATTTTGATTTTTTTTTTCTTTTCAAATTTTAATTTTTTTTCTTTTTGAATTTTTAATTTTTTTTGTTTTTGAATTTTGATTTTTTTTTTTCTTTTTGAATTTCAGGTTTTTTTTTAATTTTGGTTTTTTTATTTCAAATTTTGGGTTTTTTTCTTTTTAATTTTGGTTTTTTTTTTTATTTTTGCCTTTTTTCTCTAATTTTCACTCTTTTTTAAAAAAAATTTTTTTAAATTTTCTCTTTAATTTCTCTTTTTCTATTTCTTACTCTTTATAAAATTTGGAATTTTGTCTTTCTTTGTTTAGACAATTCCATGATAATAATCACCACATTTATGCGAAGGATTCTCACTAAAAAATTATAGCACATCATATTGGTTCACAGAAAATAAAGTTTATAAGTATGTTCAAATGTAATTGAATTATTTCTATCAAAGAGAAGAATAATCTAATGCTGGTTGTAACTTATAATTCAATAGAACACCTTCAAATGAATCTTGTTAATTTTATGCTATACAAGGATAAAAATAATAGGTATTCTTGGCTTCTTACCAGTTCTATTCTGAAATCCTAAAAGTTATTTTTTGAAAGGACATAATACTAACTAAATTAGTTAGCATTATAACTAATGCTAGCTAACTTTGTTCGTATTATGTCTTTTTTGAAAAACTGTCTTTCAGGATTTTAGGGTAGAACCCTTTTCACTATGGTTTGTATCTTTTTAAAGTTTTTGTGGAAGTTTTACTTAAGACAAAAAAAGTCTACATTGTCAGTAAAGCTCTTGTATCTTTGTTTATACAGTGGGATGTACTGTCAATTTTGCAATTAGATAATAGGAAGAATTCACCACTGATGTAGTTAAACATATTTGCGAAACTCTTGAAATTACAATTTAGCATAGTTGCCCAAAGCACCCCATGTTTCAAGGCCAAGTTGAACACCTAAATCAAACAGTTGAACACAGATTCACAAAAATGCTATAAAACAAAAAAATGCAACTACAAATATTAATTAGAAAGATCGCTTACTAAAATTTGTCTTTTTATACAATACTACCCAACATAGTGCTTATAAAAAAACACTCTGTGAAGTAATGTTTGGCTACAAACTTCTTGGCATATATTAGCAATTTAATCCTGGTTTTCAGAAAATATAAGTGCAAGAATTACTAACAACACCTCAAACCATAAAAGACCACCTAGAGACTGTTTTAATAATTTACAATGAAGTCAACAAGCAACTCAAAAAAACAAGAAAACAAATACAAAAATATTCAAGTGTTCACTGCTACAAAAATACCTACAAACCTGGTTAGTTAGTTGCTATAGCCACCAATACTGATATAAACTGGCAACCCATGAAAAAAATCTCCAAGCCAATTTTAATAAAGGTGTAACAGTTGTTAATATGACAAACAACAACAAGACTGTTGTTAAAACAACTAAAAGGAATACTGTGCATTATCCTATTAAAAATATTTATTGAATAAAAAAAAACAGTACTGTGGTATCATCTTTACCTTTGTAAAAAATAGAAAAAACTGCCTTTTTTTTTTTTAAGTTTTTTTTTCATTTTTTCATTTTTTTTAAGATATACTTTTTTTTTGTTTTATCTTAAGCTAGTTTTTTAAGCTTAGTCGTTATTTTTTTTTAGAATAGTCTTCTATTTTTAAAATAGTTTTTTTGATTAAGTGTTTGAGAGTTGGGTTTTTAGGGACTTTTAAGAGTAAAATTATAGGGTGGGATGTAATAATAGAGCTTATAAATGTGCCCAACTTATGTTAGTTTTTATACTGCAAAATAAAAACATGTAATGTCTTAAGTTAGACAAACCTCATATTAATTCATGACAATAACTATAATTCAGCTTTTCTTATACACAATTAATACTTTTTTTTAATTAAATATTTAAGGCTATTGAGCTTTATTATACCAAAATTTATTGTTATAATTAATTCATTATATAGGCTTGGTGCTGCAAAAAGGGACCAAATTGACAAAACAGAAAATCATTGGAAAATTAATTTTTATGTTATAAATCTTATAATAAATCATAAAAAAATGCAAACTTTAAAGAGCAATACTGAAAATTTTATTAATTGGTGATCCACCAATTAATACAACTACTTTTGTGTCTTAAGTAAAAAATAATCCTAATCTTATTCTAAATTGATTTATGCAAAAAAATATCTTTTGAAAAAATTGTCAATTTGCAGAACCAAGCCCATATGATTTACAGTGCCTATCGTAAGTATCTGACCCTCAGTAACTTTCCAGAGTTAATTCATAATGCCTTAAAATTTTCAGTGTATAAAGAGTATTTTTTTGTGACTGATAAAACCTCTACATCAGGATATTATATGACCATAAAGTTTATTTATTTCAATATACGTGATATGTAATTAAATTTTAATAAGTTTTATTGGAATTATTTATTAATATGGTTACAGTTGAGTTAGTATTAGATTGTCAATTTTTAACATAATTCAAAGTATATATTTCTATTATAGAACTTGCTATTAGGTGATTACAGTATGTGGTTGAAGTTGAGTTTATTGCATTAGAATTAGGGTTGTTAATGGAGCACTCCAGTCAATAATAAAACATATAACTTACTCCAGAGCACTCCAGAAGTGAGTTATATGTTTTATTAATGTCTAGAGTACTCCATTAACAACTCTAATAAAAATTATTATTATGGTTAATCACACATTATCTTGAAACACAAACATTAAGGAAAATATAATTAAACTTCATACTCACTTTGGTAATTTATTTAATAAAAAATAATTATGGTTAATCAAACATCTTATAATACAATCATTAGAATGAATCAAATTAAACTTCATACTCATCCTGGTAATTTATTTGAATGTTTAAATGATTAGGTTAATCACACGTTCTTTTGAAGCACAATTGTTAAAGCAAATCAAATTAAACTTCATACTTATCCTGGTAATTTATTGAATGATTGAATGATTACAATTAATCAATGTCTTGAAACACAATTGTTAAAGCAAATTTAATTAAACTTCATACTTGCTCTGGTAATTTATTTGAACAATTAAATGATTACAATTACTCACACATTCTCTTGAAATTCAATCATTAAAGCAAATCGAATTAAATTTTGTACTCACTCTAGTAATTTATTTAAATGATTGAATAATTATAGTTAATGTCTTGAAACACAATTGTTAAAGTGAATTGAATTTACTTCATACTCACCTAGTAATTTATTTGAGTAATTAAATGATTACAGTTACTCGTACAATCTCTTAAATACAGAAATATCATCTTTAAGATGAATCGAATTAAACTTCATACTTATCCTGGTAATTTATTGAATGATTTAATGATTTTGGTTAAATTACACATTCTCTTGAAACATAGTCATTAAGGTGAATCTAATTAAACTTCGTAATCACCTTAATAATTAAATCAATGTTTTAAACACAATCGTTAAAGTGAATCAAATTAAACTTCATACTCTGGTAATTTATTTGAACAATTAAATAATTATAGTTAA